GGGGTGCCGGTGCCGGGGGGTTAGGTTACCTTCCTGGGGGCGCCGCAGCTGGCGGAGGTGGAGGGGGGGGTGGCGGGCAAGGCGGACCGGCGCGAGGGGATATGGCTTTTGCGGACGACATGCTGCTGAGGGCAGAAGCTGGCGATGTGAGTGTTTGTTTTAATCCCCCTCTATATGTGGCAAGGTTTTTTGCGAATGGATGCTTTCGGGGCGGGGGGGGGCTGGGGATTCTGGGACACATGTTGCAGCACGTCCAGTGTCGCCACCCTACGAACACCAGCGACTGCTGTGTGTCTTGTCGGGGGTTGGAGAGAGTGTTGCGGCTGACCCTCTTTCGTTTTTGCTCTTTTGTTTTGCGCTGCCGCATGGGAAACTTTCAGTCCGTTCGTGTGGCGAGATGCTTCCGCCGTTGCTACGTACATGTAATTTTGTTCGTTTCTCAGCAACGCTGTCACGGCGAATCCGAAAACCTCGGGAGCACCATCAAGATGTAAGCTCTCGCTGCCATCCGCCCGTTGCGGTTTGTTTGTACATGACGCGATACTGCATTGGCGATGACGTACATTGCGATCGTCAGCCCTCCGCTACGATGATGATGGGGCGGCTCGGAGGAGATGGGCATCACCCCGGACTTCGCGAAAGCGGAACACGTGGGATCAAGAGAGAGACGGGGAGAGAGAGAGATGGGGAGAGAGAGAAACGTTGTTTGTAGGTACACGCGTCGCCGTGCTTTGCTCGTGACTGAGGAACGGCACCATTTATGCGTCGAGTATGTCCATCCCCAATCTAGAAGTGCGGTGTTGCCCGTTTTATTCAATGCGCGCCCCGCACGCCCCGTGATGCCCCCCGTTTATTTATCCGAAGTCCGTTGCCATGCGCGCACGTTCACCTCATTTGCTAACAGCGGCAGTCACCACATCGATATGGACCAAACACCCTATGTTACGCCTATCACGGTTTTTGCTTTTGTTTTAGGCCACCGCCCCGTTGCAAACAATTTCACCACCCCCGCTCTCTCTCTCTCCCTCTTGTCCACACCTCCTTTGTTCCGTCGACCTCTGAATTCGCTTCCGAAAAAAATACAAACACCCTCGTCCGCCACCGCGCTACCGACCGACCGACCGGCCGACCACGGAGCGCAGCTCATGTGGAAGGCGGCGAGGAACGGGGACCCGGGAGGCTACGCCTACCTCGCGTGGATGCATCACAACGGTCACATCGGCGGCACCTGCCCCCTCACCTGCAGCCGCGGCTGCCCAACGGGGGCGGGGAAGGGGACGAGCGCGCCAAAGGCGGCGGAAAGCTGGCCTCCCGGAGGGAGGGCGACCTCAGGGCGATGGCGTACGCGCTCTGGGGGATGGAGCGGGTGGAGGGGACCAACGTCGGGAGAGGAGTCCCCGAGACGATTACCGAGGGGGGGGG